TTTATATAAACTAATTTATACTACATATTTACATTCACACTTATTTGCATTATTTTCAAACACATTTAAAAAAAAATACACAAATAATTTAAATTATATCATTAATTATCATCATCATCATCTAAACCTTGAACCAATTATATAGGGTAGGGTGCATGAATCCTGTTATGTCATGTTCTTTGTTACATAATGAGTGGGCGGGAGGAGATCGATCATATGGATATCTCACTTTGAAATTTGAATAAAAAATCATACTTATGGATTTATGGATTCTAAATAGTTTGAATGTTGATGGAATATTAGATCCACTGCTCAGTATTTTGGGTGTAAAACCTCAAAATTTTACGTCGATTGTCCTTGGATTTTTAATCCTTCTGCTGGACCCTAGGTTCAAAATCTCTTTTTTTTTTTTTTTTTTTTTCTCAGATTGGGTTTAGACCCAACCCTTAGGTAACCCGAGCCCAAACCATTCCTAGCCCAGTTTGAACCCAGCTGACGATATACATTCATATCTGCAAAAATACATACATAAAATATTCCTATCTAAAGGTATAGGACCAATTTTAACACAATGGCCTAATAGGCCAATAAACTTGAATGATCAACTTGAAACTGAGCCCAACTTYAATGTGTTAAGTGTTAGTTCAGGTTGGGTAGTTGGGCTTGACCTCAGGCTCAATTAAAGCTCAACCCTTAAGCGAGCGTGTTAGGGCTGGACCTCCTCCTCTTCTTCTTTTTGTTCTTCTTCTTCCAATTTTATTGTTCGGCCTGGGTTAAGCTTAAACCCAGCTCAGCCCATCCAACATGCATCCCCTATTTATGTCAATAAACCAAACACATCATAGTCTGCATGAACAAGGATGAAATTTTCTTCTCAAGGGATATATATATATATATATATATATATAAACAGGAAAAAGCCTTCTCAATAACCTAAATGGGAAAACTTGACCTAGCGCATTTCTGTTACATTGAGGGATGATATTGCCGGTCTGAACAGCCACACCATCCACATTAGACCAGACAAACCGGATTATGCTATAATAACCCGGCTAGAGCACCATGGCATCAAACCTAACGCAATGCTTATGGGACTCACAAGCAAAGTCATTTACTTATCTTAAACCTAAAAGTTGCTGCATTGGAGTAGTTTCCATTTTCCAATATATAACAAATATGTATTTGTTGGATTTTTCTTTGTCAAATCCACCATATACAAGGTTCAAAGTATCGATTGGCCGATACATATCATACTGATGGCTTCCCGATACAAAGGGTGGAGGAGCCTTAAACTGGGCCCCCTGAATTGGCTTAAAAAAAATAAAAAAAAAAGTAAAAGAACACTATCAACACCAGCTGATATGTCCCTAACAATGTATCGATATTTTGAACCTTTACCATATACCTCCACAATTACAACTATAAACTAGTGTCGATCATGGTCCATGCTGGGGCTGAACATAAAACCTAGACTCAAGCCAAAAATTTTTGGTTAGGGCTGAAAATGATCGCCCGCCCCTTGATCTTAGCCAAAAGATTGAAAAAGGTATAATCCCTGAGTAGGGGTGTTGACTATGCAGTCTAAACCATTAGGCTGAATTGAACAAACTGAAATTGGCAGTTTTATTCGGTGTGGACAAAAAAATGGTTTGGTTCGATTTGGGATTCTTCAAAATTTTGGTTTGGTGTATTGAGATTTAAAAATTAAATTAAACCATAAAAATAAGTTAACTATAGTGCACTCACTAATGTTGGTTGCACGTGAAATCTAGATCTTAACTAATATTATGTTAAAGTTTGCTTATTTTTCATTGGTTTATGTTTTTCAAAGTGTAATTTCATGCAAGGTTTAAAGTATTGATACGTATCAGTCCGTCTCGACCGATATGTATCATGCTGGTGGCTTTTCGATACATCCCTACAGGGGATATATCGGGGTTCTGACTGGTTCAGGGGGTGGAGGAGCCTCAAACCGGACCCCCTGAACTAGTTTTGAAAAAAATAAAAAAAAAGGCAAAAAAAAAACACTATCGATATCACCTGATATGCCCCTACCGATGTATCAAGCATATCGATATTTTGAACATTGATTCCATGTTTACTAAGATATATTTACCATCACATTAAACCAATCACATCTTTAGTTGCATTGTACAACAGATGTATTATAAATTTTACTATTAAAAATATATTGTTGTAACCAAATTTAATGCTTATACATATGTAGCATACCAATTACAATAATTAAATGATGTATGGTGACAAAAAGACTATATTTATTATTTATGCAATAATATATGTTGCTTGGTCTTTCTAATTGGGTTAAACCTAATAGAATGGTAAAAACCATATTAGAAACTGCAACAAAAACAAGCCATAATAAAACAGTTGGGTTTGATTTAATCTGAAAAATATGAGATACCATATTTCATTGGTTTGACCCTAAATCTTCTCCAAACTGCACCAAATCGACCCTGAYCTGAGTACTCCAAACAGATCCCACTGAATTAAAAAAAAAAAAGGAGATTTTCAGCCAAAATTTATATCATGAAATATGGAGTTAATGCGACTTTTGAATATATTGTAGCTTTACAGATGGTGAGACCCATGATAAAACATACAACAAACCAAAATTAGACACGCCTTTTTTTTTATGGGTCCTACCTACTGTAACTCCTCCAGGAATAAAGGGCTGCAACCGGAAGAGGGGAATAACTCTTGAGGAAGAAACAAATTATCACATGGAAGATTCTTATGTCTTTTTACGCATCTTCATTAAACGTCCCAACACGCAGGACCATTCCCTAATCGAAATTTTTGAGAACTTCAATCCATTTGTACTAATTCAAAAAAGGGTTCTAAAGGGTAAAATAGATTCTACTCATGATGGCGTCCTTCCAAACCTTGAAACCTGAAAYCACTGAGGGCCGGGGTGGTAATTATCAATTACTGCAAATTGATGGTTTCAAATTTTCTATATCATATAGATTTAAATTTGATTAATGATTGTCAAGATGGCCGAGTTGGTCTAAGGCGCTAGTTTCAGGTACTAGTCCGAAAGGGCATGGGTTCGAATCCCATTCTTGACACATTTATTTTGTTTTATCAAAAAAAATCTAAATTTGATTCATTTATATTTGGACTTGAATCCAATTTTATCCATTAGATTTGAATAAAATTCAAATTGTATATTTATTAGCTAAAACAATTGAAGCTCAAGATGATCACAACATTATATATTATTTATTATATGAAATTAAAAAAAAAAACTTTGTTACTGTATATCATAAACAAAATAACTTGTTTGAAACTTGATCCATAAATTTTCAGCCTGCGTTCGTTTTGGATGTAAATGCTTGCCAGTTCGCATTTATCCATGTTTGTTTTCAGTAGTATAAATACGGATTAGTGTAAAAATTCACCCCTGATCGTATTTTCACGCATTTATTTTTTCAATGTAAACCTCCCCACTGGTTGACTTTTCCATTGATAATCACACGTTTATTTTTTCGATGTAAACCACCCCTGATCCGTATTATCACGTTTAAAAATATTCCAATGGTTCATAAAATTTTAAACCCATCAATGTTAAACTCCATTAATTGAGTTTTACATCAATCGAGTTTACATCGAAAACAAACACAGCCTTACTAAAAATACAACGTTCAAAACAACTTTACTAATAAATACAATATAAATTTTAAATATAGAAAAATCTATAATATCAGGACCAGAAAAACGTTGACCAATCAAACCCATGTGAATTTTAATAAATATATACCACTTGATTGGCTACCACTTTTATGATACTAGTTGATTTGTTTACAAATTTTTCAAATATTATGTTTTTTATGATCATAAAAGAGATGACCAATCAAGTGGTATTCAACAATTTCTTGGGGTGTTTTGATTTCGTAAAGCTATTTTGATACCACATATATATATATATATTAATGTGAGGAGATGCATATATGTATATCAAAGATATTGGATTGGATAGGGTGGAGATCCAATTATAAATTAACCCAATTAAGATCACCCTTAAAAGGTGATTGAAAAAATAGATACCTTTTTGCAGCCCTAATTTATTTGCATCTTAATAAATTTTTACGTCATTTGATTTATTTGTACCATGCAACTTGAAGCATATAGTAAAGTAAATTCCAAAGCGTTGGCATAAAAAAAAGTAAAATCCAAAATAAAAGAGAAGTCGTATTCGCATTATTCTTATTTTTTTTTATTACAAATGAAATTGTAATACAGGTTGTGTTTGATTGTCGTGCAAATTTATTAGTATTGGTACAAATGTATGGGAATGCAAACGAAAAAAATGCAAATTCTACTTTAATTTTGTTTTGTCTTACTTTGTTCTACTTCATGTCTTAATTTACTTCATTTKTACGGGTAATAGTTAAAATAAGCTAAAATTTGAAACAAACATAGATCAGAATTTACACTTAAATCATTTGTACTGTAATAGAATTTCTTTAGTTTTATAGAAATCTCAAGCACAAAACTGATGGATGTATCATCCTATCAAGTATCAACCCAGAGAGTCAAAGCGTTGTTAGCCGTCCAAAATGCATGCCATGCCATGGAATTGAAATTTTTGGACGGCAGTGATGCTGRCTGGGGACCGGCCAAATACCAGTCCCATCAGAGCCCGGATCTCTGGCAAAAACTCTGTTCACACAACATCTAACCGTACAATAAGAATATCTCCCGTACATATATTAAATTCATGAAAAAAATATTCGTAATATGCGGCTGGATTCTCATGGTTTGCATTGAGACTCTGAGAGGGTATGTAGAGTTCGTGATTGCAGGGAATCCCGTGGGGTGGAGAAGGAGGGGGGGTCGCAACTGTTTATCGATCGTCGATGTACCTTTATGTGGGGCCCACATCATTAATTAACTGTCGTACTGAACAATGGATTCGTTGAGACCTCCGAGTGAGCGAGGAGATCTTGAGATGGCGAAATCAAAACCAGTAACCACAGACACAGTCCACAGGGAGAGAGAGAGAAGAGAGGAGAGAGAGAGAGATCAATAATGGCGGTTCCGTCTACTCAGATGTTGGCCAGTACGGCACAACACAACACAACTTTCCACACGAGCTCACCCACACGAGCGCTACTCACTCGCCTTTCCACAAATGCTTACCTGAAACCCCCTCATTCTGGGAATTTTACAACTTAGCCCTTTTTACTTTTTCCTTTCCTCGTACGCTCTACTTCCTATTGTCCTCAGATTTCAATGGCAACCTTGTAATTTTTGCTGTTTTGAGGACTCCATTGCCATTCATCAGTCCGTCCCTTCTCCTTCCCAGGATCAGGGTCCCACGTTTCTCTCTCTCTCTTTGCCCGGAAGGGAAAAAGGAGGAGAGAACAAATCTCTTTCTCTTTCTCTCTCTCTCTCATATCTGTTGCCCTGTTGGTGTTCTGTTCGGGTTCTTTGACTTGGACTCACWCGCTATCGCAATAATAGCATCGCCTCCTCAATCTCTTTCTGAGCTTTTAATCCTACCATCCACATTTCTGCTAACGTGCGCAGCCTTTTTAGCTTGGCGATGGGCGTACTACGCCATCAGCACCAGCACCTCCACCACTTTCACCATCATCATCATCATCACCGTCTCACTGCTGCAGCTGCTCTCGCTCTTATCTTCATTGCGTCCGTCTCCGTCACGGTTGTCTCCTCGGCCACCCAACTGGGTATGTCGTATGTATAAGCAAAACCCCCAGAAAACCTCTTCTCACTTTAATTCACTTACTTGTCTCTCTCTCTCTCTCTCAATATATATATATAGTTTATGGTTTGTTTTTCAGGTATTGGGTTAGTAGGAGTGAGCGGAGTGAAGTTGGAGAAAGAGGAGGAAGAGAAAAGGGGTGGTGGATTGGAGGCGTTGGAGCGACTTGTGACGCGGAGGAGACTCACTGGGCCGGGATCGTCTCCACCAACGTGCCGGTTCAAGTGTGGGAGTTGTTCGCCCTGCCTGCCGGTGCACGTGCCTATACAGCCCGGTCGGAGTTTTCCTCTGGAGTACTACCCTGAAGCTTGGCGTTGCAAATGTGGCAATAAACTCTTCATGCCTTGATGAACCATAAACGACTATACCTGCAGCCCCAAAACGAAGACTTGGAAACAGAAGGAGAAACCTCTCTTCCCTTCCTCTTAATATGTTTCTTCCTCTACTCACTTACCTGTATCTGATTCTCCATATTTTCTTCTATGTATGTATTGATTTTCTTTCATGGAAGAGGCAAGGACACATGGGTAATGTAATTTTTTAACTGAGTTGATCATCAGGACTCTCTCTCTCTCTCTCCCTGTTCTTCTAATTTGTCATGCCTGTGTAATTACCATGAGATGAGATAGTTAGGCAGTAAAAAGTGAAAGTTGTTAAGAGTGAAAGATGGGTTTAGAGTAAATTGTGGGAAACATGTTTTTTTTTTTTTTTTCTCCTTTATTATTTTATGTCACTGGAGACTGTAAATTTTTGGTTAGATGTAGGAGGGAGAGATGAAATTCAGTTTCTTAATATTAGTTCTTTTCTGTAATTAGTCTAAGAAAACAATAACCTTTTCAGTTTGCATAAAGAAAAGCTGCATTAGACTTTACAGTATTCACAGAAAAAGGATCTCTCTCTCTCTCAACATTGGTTCTTTTCTTAATATTAGTTCTTTTCCGTAATTAAGAGTGTCCTGTCTTGGTGTTTTGCTCTTCTTCCATTTTATTCTTTTACATGAAACCCCTTAATCTTGTCCTATTTTTGTATTTTCCCCACAATTTATTTCCCATTTTCATGGATCTCCCTTGGATGGTTCAGATTCACCACTTACAACACAAGACATCTAGATGAGTTTATTCTTTACAAGGTATAGATGGGCAAAGAAGAATCCAGAAACAGCCCAGTGCTGTTCAGCTACATTGTCTCTACACGTTAGCTGGGATGTGGGGCCATGTTGGTTTTTATATATTCTTTCTCCCAAAGCCCGAAACCCTTTTTACATGTTTTTAGTCATTGGACTTGTGATCATATTTTCACCCATCTTTAATATTTGAGAATAATAACATATTCAATGACTTTACCTAACGGTTTAACTAATAGGTTGAATGGTTCTAGACTGTATAACTAAAGTAGATTAATATTTACTTTATTATTTTTATTTTTATTATAATTAATTTAATTTTAGTACAAGATATGAGTGGGTCTATACCTGAGACATCTGCTTTTATTTTTCCATAACTGTATGTGATTTTCCAATAAAACACAAATTAAATCCAAAAAATTAAAATTCATGCATGTGAATTCTTCAAATAATTAGGATGCCTGATTGGTAAAGTCTGTTGAATTCTCCGTCTTGAAGATTCCATGAAGATTAATGCTTATGGAGCTACTCCATCAGTTCATTGGCATTGTGTAGTGTAAAATAATAATAGGGTCATCTTGTAACTAGGATTATTTTAACCTCCAAATATTTGTCCGCTGAAGCTGAGGTTCAAGCATTCATGAAGAATTTGGGTTAAAATTAAGGCCCTGTTTGGCTTGCGGTAATAGAGGTCTGAAATCAGAACCAGAATGGGTTATTTCAATTCCAACTGTTTGATTGAGTTCAATTGGAATTCTATTCTCATTTTTAGTGGAATGATATTTTTCATTTGAGGGAATGGTTATTCCTCTTTCCCTCCTTTTTTGGGAACGAAATCTCATTTCTGTTGATTCCAATTTTCATTTTCTTTCTTATCTGAACCAAACAAATTATAGCAACAAACTATTTCAATTCCGATTCCAATTAATTAGGAGATTAACTAGAAATTATTTGGCCTTTCTCGTCAGTGTCAACCATCAGACTCTCCTTACTCAACTAATCGAGCTGCTTGAGAGGCTCCAAATAACTTCCTTAGTCAATCTTGGTTTGCTTTCTCTCCCCTTTTGTTGCTCCTATATCAGTTATGTTGAATGAATTTTGCCATTTGGCTTTCATGACAAAAAATAATGAAATTAAAGCGTATTAATCACGGCACGGGTATATATCTAGACTTGAAAATATTTTATCTTAATGAGTTTGTTTGACTTCAAAGGAGCTACCGAGCTAGGTTGACCGTAAAAGAAGCCAACCAACCTCTAGCTGGGTGGTTGTTGGCTCCCACTACAATGTGTAGCAGGTCTGGGTCTTGGTTTGGAATCAAGGGAATGGCCTCATTTGTACTAGGGATGTACTCTCTTTCTATGTCACAACGGGTTCAAATTAGGTCCAACTCATTTGGTATGGTATGGATGGTTGCCTATCAAAGAAATCATGGTTGCATTTAGTACCACTAAACTGACATCTGAACCTTTGAAGTATTTGCTTTTCAAAGGTTTAGTTAAACATCCAAACACATCTCTAGATTCTAAAAATTTTTCTTAAATTTTCTAAGAGCTAGGTTAGCCCACCTCCAAATAAATTCAATATTGGCGGATTGGGAGATCAAGTAGACAACATATAAATGTATAAAATGATATAACTATTATGCAATATGTATTAGAACTTTTGAAGGGGAAAATTGTAAAATAGACATTTTTTAGAGGTTCCAAGCATTCAAAACATTGAACAACTTCACTATATTTAGAGCTCAGAAAAAGAAAAAGCAAAGAAACAAAAGTTATTTTAATGTAGCAGTTCAAAGTTGAAATACCCAATAGCTAATTAGGGCCTCAATCTGTCTGAGTCCTTAGTAATTAATTAACAATTATTGATATTGATATTGTGTATTTGAAAGAAAAAGCTTACACATGAATTAGGCAATCATCCTGCTTGACAAACCTACTAATTGATTTTACTGTTTCATACTAAGTACTAGTCTTGTTGATAGCTAGTGTTGTGTTCTATCGTTATCAAAGCTTCCAACTTGTCACTAACTTGCCACAAAGATCTTCAACCAAGTCACATGTATGCTATAGTCGAGCCTCTCTTCTTGACCATCTAAGTGAATCTTGAACAAATTAAGGCTTGGAGGCTTGTGCGCTGTACCAACTAACAAGTGCTCTAGGCCCACATACCAAACACTTGTAGCACCCAGACCCAGAGCCAGTGGAAGGAACGGATTAATTTCTGAAGCTGTCAAATGCATTCAGCCATCTTTAAGCCAAGTGTCTGATACAAATGGCCACTGAGAAAGGACTACTGGTCTCTCCTGGCCTGCTGCCTTCTTATCTATCTAACCTTGTCACATGATCGCGTGGGAGTAAGCCTTAAGCAAGCTCAGAGCTTGGTAAGTATTCATCCTGGTCCACAAGGGAGACATGACAGGCCAAAAAGAACTCCCAAGCTGACACCTAACCGCATGTCATTTGGTCAAACACTTGGCGGATGACAGTGTGGCAGCAGGTGTGAGACCCTTCTCCCGTTCCACTCTTACACATCAGAGAAGAAATTAAAAGAGTTGAAAGAAATATAATCTAACCACTCTCTATACCAAGGAAGTAAAAACTTTTACGTGGTGAATTCAGACTCCATTCTCATAGTTACAGATGAGAAAGCTTAGCTTGGATTTGTATTTCTCGGGGTAAATTGAGGAAACAGGAAGGGAAATCATGTAAACAGTAAACTGGATGGAGTAAAGCCCATACGGAAAGGAGACAATCTGAATGTGAGGTCCATTTTGTAAAGTGAAACGTTCAGTCTTATTATTACCACACCTATTTTGACGTATTTGGGAATGTTGTCGGACTCGGACCGGATCCAAAGGTTCGACCATCCTGTTCATCTGTTTGATTTATTTAAATAAATAAGAATTAAATATGTAATGTTAAATGAACTTTCAAACTTATATTTGATGATTAATGGAATTGACCTTAATTAGCTTTTAAAAATATATTCTGATCAAATTTGATGTTTACAAATAATTGTATATGTAGATAT